GACCTCAAAGCCTGTTTCCTCATCTGTAGAGTCACTATCTCCCTCACAGGGTTGTTGACTGCACCAGTATAGGGTATTTCTGGTGTGGAAATTCCCTCTACCACTGCAGATCAACAATTTATAGTCAGAGGTTTTCCTGGGCACTAATATAATCGTTGATAATGATGATAATAATAATAGCTAGCACTTGTCTAGTCCTTTAAGGTTTGCAAAGCATTTTAGATATTTTATTTGATCCTCACAACAAGGTGGGTGCTATTTTAACCTCATTTTACAGATGACATGTTAAGTGATTCTCCCAGAGTCAGGCACTTAGTACACATCAGAGACTGGTTTTTCAAAGGCTGGCCCCTCTATTCCTCTCATGAAAACCTTCATGTACTAAATAAATGTGAGTTGTTATTTGGCCATGTGACTTTGGGCAGGTCACTATATCACACTCTGTGCCCCACTTTCTGGATAGATGGTCCCTAAGCTCCCCTCCAGCTCTACGATCCCATGAAAAGTTATTTGCCTACAGGACAGCTAGTGAATTGCTGTTACAACTACAACCCCAGGCTCCCTATTCCTCATCCAGTGGTATTTCCTATACACAAAGGACCTCAGAGACCATCTAATCCAACCCCTCATTTTTACAAATGAAGAAACTGAGTCCCACAGAGATTAAATGACTTGCAAGGTCACTTATGGTTTAAGTATCAGATTGGAATTTGAACTCAGATCCTCTCTCTCTAGAGGAAGTCCTCCTTCCACAATGTCACGCTGCTACCAAAGAAGGATGCCATGAAGCATTGTCAGATCTTTGAAAAGTCGCCCATCCTGCACCTGCAGATAGCAAATTTTCCAAGCTCTGAGTTTCTTCGCTTTGTTTTGTTTTAGCCACTGGTGTGTAGTATTTGCTATTTGTTTGCCTTGTAATGGACAAATGAACATAGGAGGTCAAGGTCAATTCTCAGCTCACTGATGTGAAGCCAGCCTGTTCTGATGGTAATCTGTCACTCTTACAGAACATCTGGCCCCATCACATTTCAGGGTGGGGTAGAAGAGGGGTCTCCAAGTCTGTTCCTATGAAACACTTTTACACTATTACAAAACAAAAAAATTCTGTAAGGTAGGGAACAATTAATGCCCGGTTTCCTATGGACTGCTGCCAAGGAAAGGAAATAAACAAGTAGTTATACTTCCCATTGGATACAGATGTGTTGAGAATACAACCTGGGAAGTTAGTTTCTAAGGCAATGCTAGCTATTTACAGCATTATTGTGGGTGGGGGAAGAATGGGGAAAGAACAGGGAGGGGGAAGGGGCCAGAAAAAAAATGTTATGGAAATGGATAGAGTATGAGATTCAAGGAGTCTGTGAACAAGTTTTAAATGTTGGACAATCTGTCTCGAAAGAGTTGGGTGGCAGTATTGACCTGTTAGACAATTTTTCTTTTGGGCCAAACCCGTGGTTTCAGTGGCATAGGGAACTCGAAGTGAGAAAATTCCCTCTAACAATTGAGACTGGCATCTGCTCTCAAACTTTTCTTTGGAGAATTATCTCCAAAGAGTTATTTAGTGACTTTCTCAGAATCACACAAGTGTGAATCAGAGGAAGAATCAGAACCCAGGTGTTCCTGATGCAACAGCTGACTCTCCCTCTATCTCACAGGGCTGCCTCTAAACCAGGGGTTCTTAACCTGGAATTCAGAGACCTCTGATTTCATGAGGTCCGTGAATTGGGATTTTTAAAAATTATATCATTATTTCCACTAAACCTCAATTGAAGTTTAATGATTCCTTCAATTATTTAAAAACATTATTCTGAGAAGGGGTCCACACCAGCCCAGAAAAGGGTTCATAATTACTCTAAACCAAAAAATTTTAAAATTTAAAATTTAATTTAAATTTTATGTAAAAAATAAATTAAATTAAAAAATTGAAATTTAAATTGAAAAATTAAATTAAAAATAAATTTAAATTTAATTTAAATTTTAAATTTAAAAAAATTTTAAAACCCTATCAGGAGCCAAAGTCTACTCAAAATTGACAAATAGGAGAGCTGAAAAGTCCCAGGTGTTCTTAATGGATATGGATTTCTATCAGCTGGATATCACATGTGTTGTGGTTATATATAGCCAAAAGAAGTCTTTAAGAACTGGCAGAGTCAGGAGACCTGTAACTTTTGTCTTGGTTCCACACTTGGTTTCAGCCTCTGCCTGGCATTATTAGCTTTATTACTGGACTTAGTAAGCATGTGCTTGAGAAGTAGCAGAAAATCCAGAAAGGATCCTCCACCCCACCACCACCAATATAACCTAGCCTACCCTAGTGTCTGAAATTCTTCTAAAGACTACTTTCTTTCACTTAAGAGCATTGATTCTCTAGGAATTTCTTGTTAAAATACAAAATATCATCGGCCATTAATGTCAGGACTTGAGTAGTTTGCCAGACCTTTGTGACCTTAAACTGAGAATAGTTGAGTCACGGTATGGGTGAGCTGTGATAGGGGACGTGAAAGGCTAAGTTCTAATGAGACGGGTTATTGCAGGGGGAGAGATGGAGGGAGGAAGACCAGAAATTTCTGGGGGGAAGGTGAGACTGATAAACAAGAGAGGTTGTGGGTGGATGGCAAAGCCAAACTACCTTATTTGTACCAACTTCCTAACGCATTGGGCAAAATGACAATCCAGTGTCAAAACCTTCCCCCCTTTCCAAAAGTCCCCGAAATCGAATCTTGAATGGGGCATGTGTCGTCAGTCAAGGACGTTTCAATAAACACCAGGCCCTGTGCAAAGCACAGGGCATATAAAGAAAAGCAAAAAAACAAAAACAAACAACCCCCCCCCCCCACAGTCCCTGTGCTCAAGGACCTTATATTCTGATGGGTTTAACAGCATGTAATTAACTAGGTAGAGAGTACATAGTGTTGTGCAAAGTATTGTGTAAAAGTTAATCAGAAAGGGGAAGGCATTCGCCTGAGAAGAAAATGATGCAGAAAATTATTCAAACTTCTCCGAGTACTCCAGGACCTGGCCACCTAGAACAGAACAACAATCGATTGTTTTGGTGAAGCTGTGTTACCAGAGGGGAAGTGGGGGAAATGTACCAAACACCAGTCCCAGCCTCATACTTGAGACGAACCAGAGCAGAGAGGCCTTAAAGCTGGAGGCAGCCCGTAAGCAGGCGGCAGCCCGTAAGCAGGCGAGGACGTGTGCATTACTATGAGGAGAGGGAGGGAAGGGAAGGAAACGGCCCCACCAGCAGGCAGGGGATTCCCTCCCCACCCCCCTGCCCGGCGCATTTTTGACATACGCAGGAGAGATCCCCAAAGGGGTGGGAAGGGAGGGAAGGGTTGCAACCCTCCGCAGGATATCCCTTGTGTGAATTTTTTTTTTTAAATGATGAAATGACTCTTGGAATGGAAATAAAAAACTGCGTGCTTGGCAGATTCCGACCTGGAGGCACTCCCGGGCCGGGGGATGGGTCCCCTGAGGCACCGGGTGGGAGGGGGGGGCGGAGAGGAAGGAGGAAGGCCCCGGGTTCTCCAAGGCGACCCACATTTTCAGGAATGCAGCAGGGTCAAAGGCCCGCGATTTCTAGCGGCATCTCAAAGGGCCTGGCTGGAACCGCCGCCTAGCCGCGTCGGAGGATGACGGAGCCTCTCAAGACTTTCACCAAATATGGGCCGGGGCTGGAAATGTCCTGGACCTAGCGCCGCCGGAAATCTCGGATTCTGGCAACGACAGTGTCTCCTCCTTGCAAAATTCTAAATGAAAAAGGGGGCCGGGCCGGCTGCCTGCTGCCGCCAGCTCCTCTACCCCACCCACCCCCGACGGGCGGTCGGGCAACGTGCCTCCTTCCAGCAGGGGGGCATCTGCCAACCCCGAAACCCCTCCCTCTCCGCGCCCCAGCTGCACTGACAGCGTCTGGAGAGAGAGGCGCGGGCAGGGAGCGGACGGTCAGCCTGTCTGCCTGCGCTCCCCTAGACGGCTGCAGCGGGCTCTAATCCAAGACCAAAGAGTGTGCAGCCCCACAGAAGTTAGTTTCACGAAAGCACAACAGAAGACCACAGCATACAATAGAATGGAATGTGGAATTGAAGGAATATATCATTAGAACTCGAAGTGACTTAAACGTCCAGAGATGCTTGAGGATTTTTTGGGGGGGAGGGGGGAGGACATGGGAAGGTTTACAACTGCTCAAGAGCGCTAGGTTGCTTTATCAAAGGCTCTAGTTTGAAACCCACTTACTGTGACCTTGGAGAACGTCACTTAGCCTCTCAAAGATCTGTTTCCTCATATGTAAAATGAGAGCGTTGTACTACATAATCTTCTAAGGTCGCTTCCCACTCTAAAGCTGTGCTCCTATATAAAAAATGATGTACTCTCTCTTGGTATTTTTCTGTTACTCAATTCCCAATATTGTTTTCACCTGGAATTCATTCTAGGGTTCTTCCTCAATGGTCTTTTTGAGTAGGAAGGGATGGGGATGAGTCACAACTGTTGTTCAATTCTTGGGTGGGGGGAGAGGGTTGAACCGCTCCCAGATAAAAAAGTTGACCATAAGTGTGAATTTGTGCATATTTGTAAATAAGCATGTACTATAGGCATGCGGCCGAAATAGATGCATACCTGGGTATATATGTGATGCTGTGTGTGTGCGTGTGTGTGGCGGGGGGGGGGGGAGGGTAGGGGGGAAGAGTAGGGTGGGGGAAGGGGAGGTTATGACTGGGAAAACAAAATTCAGAGTTATTATTACTCTTAAGTTGCTACCAGCCACACAAGCGGCCCCTTCTTTTCATCCTTTGTACTCCCCTGGCATCAGTAATGCAAGGATTGTCCCCACAGCTCGCCCCCAAGTCAGGAAGGAGCTGCAGAAGACAAGCCCCTTCTCTGTGGCTCACAGTCCAAGGAAACAAGGCTGCCAGTTATTCCTGAAAATGGCACCATATGAAAAGAAAAGAAAAAAGAAAGAAAGAAAGAAATCCAGCAGAATTAGCACCCGAAGCAACACTTACCCATAAACATTTGCACATTTCCCCCTAAGTCCGTCAACATGAAATGATCTTCTCTAGTTCTCTCAGAGGTGGAAATGAGAAGGCGACGAGACGTCTGGGGTTTCTGGACCATCCTTCAGACAGGAACGTGTGGAGCTGCTGCTTTTCCTCTACTAAAAGCCTATCCTTCGTTCGCAGTTGTACACAGGACATACTGTATGGTAATACTATGCACACAGGTTAATGGCAGCCACCCCACTAGCTCCCCCCATCCCCTCATTTTCTCTCGTTGCTTCTCTCTTCCCCCTATCCCCCTCTTACCCCTTCTCTACCCCACCCTTCTTGCTTTTTCATGGGCGGCTGGCGGGAGGGGGTTTCTAAGTTTCTCCTCTCGGGCAGACTCTAGTGTTCCACCATCCTGTGGAGAACTAAAGCAACAAGCCCACACACCCTGTGTCAGAAACTTTAATCTGATTTTTCAAAGAATCCCTGGTATGATATTTTTTTTTTTTTTAGTTCTGTGGTGGAGCAGATCAGCCTTCTTTCCCCTCCTCCCCCCCCCATCACCAATAAACGAATAGGTTATATACAACCAATTGGAGTCTCCACTCTCATTTTCTTTTAAAGCATGATTGCGTGAAAAACAAGGAATTCCGAAGAATTTCCTGCCCTGGGAACAGAAGTGAAGTCTATATTTAACAACATTTAAAGCTGTCGAGAATGCTTTGTGGTTGGATAACAGAGGCAGAAAAATGTTAAAAATGCAGGCTACTGCTATACCAAATATGGAAATATTGTTACGTCTGGTGTCTGATTCACCATCTGGAAATACTTACAGCCATGAAGTCAAATAGAAAAGACGCCACAACAGAAGCCAGAAACTCTTCTCCCCAGTCTCCATTCTCTCTCCCCTTCCTCCTAGCCCCCCACTTCTCCTGAGTTCCTTCATTAACTAAAAATTGTTAAAGGAATAGAATTTGAGAAAGCAACATCCTAGCAGAAAAGATGGGTTTGGTTGTGGATGGGAGCAGGGCCTAGACCTTCCTTCATGTATTTGCTTACACTTTAACGATTTGATTTTGTTGAATAGAATCATTTGTCTTTAATAGCCTTAAATCAGGACCTTCTATCATAGCAAATACAGCATAAGGTATGGAGAATGAACACTTCCTGATGTGGGAAATTCGACTCTCCATTTTCAAGGGAAAAGTGCAGTTTGTTCTAATAGCTTATCCTTGTCTGCTATAATAAAGGTCATGGGAAGTTCAATATTTCCTAGAAGTGTTGGCTTTGAATACCTAGGGGCTACCTAGATGAATTGGCTAGTTTATTTATTTATTTTCATGCAGAATAGGCCTAAAAATGAAAAGAACCATAGTTTCTCCAACAGCATGCATTAAAGGACTTAGATTTGATTATTTGTGCATTGTCCACCAAAATGATGAGACCTGAGGTTGATTTTTACAGTTTTAACTTACCCATAAAATTCACTGAGGGTGTTAGTGATATTCAGTGAGTAGACGGCAGTCACAGAGTCTTTATTAAGAAAGTGGCAGGTAGAATATAACACTTATAAACCATGTGGGACTATTTTTGTCCTGGAAAAATGACACAGCTAGCTAGTACCTTTTAAAATAACATTTTTTTATTTCTCCATACCGCATTTAAAAATAAGCCTAGACAGTTCAGTGCAATTGCCCTGAGAAGGGAAGTTTCCAGCCCAAGGGATCCCAAGGTAAGGCTTTCACAATATTGTCAATTTCAGCTTTAGAGGCAGATTCCTAGGTGGGGATTGTCCCTTGCCGTCCCCCCCCCCCCCCGTCCCGTTTCCCCCACCCACCCACCCCACCTCCCCAGACATTCAGCAAAATGCAGTTGTGAGTGTAGTCCAAACTGGAATTTTTACAGAACCTGTGATGTTTGAAATCAACATAATTTAGAAGTCATCATTTCAGTTCCTAGTTAGCTGCTCATCATCTACAATATGGGCTGAACGGAAGGGCTGACACCTTCTACTGCATCTTTGAAATATAGGAAGTAAAAAGCATTCCCCCTGAGAACCTATTGCTTTTCATCTAGGAACTGCAAATCCAAGCACTGAGTTGGGACAAAAGTAGGGACCTCCAAATACAAACAAGCTTGGGATGAGGGTCGTAGAGGAGAAGAGAGGAGAGAAGAGCTTTGCTTGCGAAGTTGCTCTACAATGGGAAATGGCTTATTGTTTTACTTTCATTCATAAATGCCAGTGTTAATCTGTAATAGACGTTTTTGACTCATATGCAGTAGGCTAAAGATTTGGGACATGTTCAGTAATGAATACATGCATGGATCAGAAAGACTTCCTCTCCTTCCTAGTCTTCCCCCCTCCTTCTTCCTCTCCCCCTCGCACCGCCCCTCCGCTCCCCCCCAGCAACCCACCCCCACCCACCCCCCGCCACGACTGAAAAGATACTTTCCTCTATCTCTCAGTGTAAATAAAACAGTTCGCTGCCTTCCAGGGATGAAAGTTTTAGGAGCCTGCCTATTAAAATAAAAATCAGCAAACAAATGTACTTTTGTTTCTCCCTCTCGGGTCCTCCCACCCTCCAACCCCCAGCGAGTTCTTTATCTGTTTCTCTGATCCCCATTGCTCTGGCCATCACTTTCCCCACTCGCATCACACACCTCCCCTTTCCCTCCAGCCTCCAGCAAGGAAAATCCTCCCAGATCTAAGTGGTTAGTTAAAGTGGAAAAAATGGACTGTTTTCTTGATGGGTCTGGGACAAAAAAGGTGCAAGGAAGCCAGGGGAGGCGCTTGGATGGAGCCCGCGCCAAAGAAACATTCCTGAGATGTTTGAGAATTCTGGAACGCTCAGACAGCGCCTACGTCACTCAGCTGCATACACGCGGCGGCTCTGGGCTCAGGGTATAAAAGGCGCAGTCCTCCGCTCCTCCGCACACTGCAAGAGAATCTCCCCCGAACGCGTGCTGGGTGACCTCGGCAGCTGCAAATAGACCGCAGCGGCCACTCTCGCTGCGCCTCCGATCTCCGAGGAAGAAGTCGCGCCCACTGCCAGATCGTTGAGCCCTCTCTCTAGAGGCAGATCCAGACCCCAGCACCAGCCTTCAAGTCCGGGCTCAAGAGTTCTCAGACTCTGCCCGAAGTTAGCCTTGCGTGTTTCTCTTTTTCTTTTCTTTTCTTTTCTTTTTCTTCTTCTTCTTTTTTTTTTTTGTTGCTGCAATAGCACGAGGGCTATTCCTGCGCCTAACAATGAGCACCCAGGCAGCCAGAATTCTCGCCTTTGTCGTCACCTTGTTCCATTTAGCCAGACTGGTAAGTTTTGCAGTCCTCTTAACTGCTTGCTTCCCTCCTCCTCTTCCCTGGTTCCCTTACGCTGTCCCCAGTCCCAAACCGCAGCCCTGGGTGGGGAGAGGGGCGAGAGGCAGAGCCTTCCATTATCGAACCTCCCCTGTTCCTGGCAAACCCTGAGACCTTCCCGGGGACGTTCTATCGCCGAATGAACTTGGCCACCTTAGAAGCCACTCGGGGCTGGCCAGAGCAGTGCGTTAGATCAAAGCCTTGAGATCTCCCTTGCCCGGGGGGTAATTTGCATTCTGCAGCCTTTCACTGTGTTTCTTTTCCGTTTCAGGCGCTCTCCACCTGCCCAGCCTCCTGCCAGTGTCCCCTCGAGGTACCCAAATGTGCCCCAGGAGTGGGGCTGGTTCTGGACGGCTGTGGATGCTGCAAGGTCTGTGCTAAACAGCTTAACGAAGACTGCAGTAAACTTCAGCCTTGCGACCACACCAAGGGTCTGGAATGCAACTTCGGCGCCAGTTCCACGGCTCTGAAGGGAATCTGCAGAGGTGAGATGCTTGCGGTTTGGGCCTCCTAAAACAACAACAACAATAACAATAATAATAGCCCCCTGGAGTCCAGAAGTTTGGTCATACTGAGGCCATGTATGGCTATGCTTTGTTGTTGGTAGCTTGGCAGAAAGGCAGATGATTTCAGCAGTCTGGAATGCAATTCAGTATGTCTGGGCCCCGCTTAAAGCCCATACGGAAAAGTGATTCCTGACTAACTTATTGTTCTACCCTTGGGTCTCCGAGGAATTGTAGGGGAACTTTACCCTAAATTGAATTTAACAGCAGAAAATACATAGGCGCTCCAAGCAGTGATTGGGAATGTTAACCCTATCTCTTCTCCCTCCCCTTCTCTTTTTGGTCATCTCTGCAGCCCAGTCCGAGGGAAGACCTTGTGAATATAACTCCAGAATATACCAGAACGGTGAAAGTTTTCAACCCAACTGTAAACACCAGTGCACATGTATCGACGGGGCGGTGGGGTGCATTCCTCTGTGCCCACAAGAACTGGCTCTTCCCAATTTGGGCTGCACCAACCCCCGGCTGGTCAAAGTGGCCGGACAGTGCTGTGAAGAATGGGTGTGTGACGATGACGTCGCCAAAGATGCCCTGGATGAGATGGACGGTTTCATGGGCAAGGGGCTTGGAATAGGAGCCTCTGAAATCGAACTCACCAGAAACAACGAGTTAATTGCCATCGGAAAAGGAGGCACACCTCTAAAACAACTTCCTGGTAAGAAGCCGCGGAGACTTGTGAAAGGAGTAGTTGAATGAATCGTACAAGTTTTAAACTGTGAGATGCTTAAAAGCTGTTTCTTTCTATGTGCATAGTGGAGCATTGAAAACTTATAATAACCCTCTTCTCTCCTTCCCTTCTCCCCCTCCTCCTCACCCCCATTATAGTTTTTGGATCCGAGCCACGCATCATATATAACCTATTCCATAGCCAGAAATGCATTGTTCAAACAACTTCATGGTCCCACTGCTCGAAGACTTGTGGAACGGGTGTCTCGACCAGAGTAACCAATGACAACCCCCAATGCCGCTTGGTTAAAGAAACCAGAATCTGTGAAGTGCGCCCCTGTGGCCAGACAGCATATGGCACACTCAAGGTCAGTTTCTAACTTAAGAGTACTTGGAAGCCCAGCTTCATGGAAATTGTTACCAGGCACACGTGCCATGGTTTTTCTTCCCAGAGAAATAATTCCTGGCTTTATTTTTTCCCCCACCTCTTCTTGCAGAAGGGAAAGAAATGCAACAAAACGAGGAAAGCCGCCGAGCCTACCAAGTTTACCTTCGCAGGATGCACCAGCCTTAAAAAGTACCGGCCCAAGTACTGCGGTAGCTGCGTAGATGGGAGGTGCTGCACGCCCCAGCAGACCAGGACCGTCAAGGTCCGATTCCGCTGCGAAGACGGGGAGTTGGTCACCAAGAACGTCATGATGATCCAGTCTTGCAAATGCGTCCACAACTGCCCACATGCCAGCGAGGGCACTTTCCCATTTTACAGGCTGTTCAATGACATTCACAAATTTAGGGACTAAACGGCCCTTTGGGCCGGAGGGGGAAACTGAGGGGAGGCAGTGTCAGAATCGGAAATACCAAGACGCGTGGGGGTGGGTGGGATGGGGGAGGGGGAAGGAACCCTATTGTAGAAGTGACGCCTTGCTCATTCTTGAGTCACCTTAAAGGTATTTTTGAAACTTCCACGTGCACTGTGCAGATGGACACTAAGGCAAACGAGATTTGAGAATACTTAATGCTTCATAGTATTGGAGCACCTTTTTATTGCTTCGTTTTGGAGCCTGTTATGTCGACAACATTCTGCTTTCTGTTTGTAAATTATTTGGTAAACATATCTCTCTCTCTCTCTATGCCTTTTTAAAAAGAGATGATGTGATTAGTGAGACACCTGAAGACTTTTTGACCCTTTTTCCAGAAGCAAATTGGAGAAATTTCCACCCTTCCCTGATGTGGCACTCTGTGAGTGTAAGCCTGAGTGGCAGCTATGATGTACCAACTGCATCTGAACTGCAAACAGAAACCAGCTGTTTTAAGACTGAATGTTTTTATTTATCAAAAAAAAAAATGTAGCTTTTCTTGGGAAAAATGTAATACTGGAATAAGTTGTAAATGATTTTAATTTTATATTCAGTGAAAAAAATTATTTATGGAATTAATCATTTAATAAAGAAATATTTACCTAACTTTTGAGTATGACTCATAGATTTAGAGCTGGAAGGGACCTTAGAGGTCATCTAGGCAAAGATTACTTTGCAAATGAGGAAACTGAGGCCAAGGAAGGTGAAGTGATTTGTCAATATCACATAGGCAGTAAGTGACAGAGCTGAGATTCCAACCCAGGGCCTGTGAATGGAGGTTGAGTGCTTTTGCCAAGGTACCCTCTGTGCTTTCCCAGACAGTCTGGCAATTTGAGAAAAAAAACTTACAAACTGGAAATTATTGCTTCTATGTCTTCAGTGGAGAAAACCTTGGAATTAAGATTAGACAATCATGCAATAAGGACATAATGAGGAAACAATGTATATGATAATAACTAGTGACTCTTCCTCATAGGAGATTAGGGCTTTCCGAAATAGACTATTTTACTCCCCCATACAAGTACAGTCTATGAAGTGGGTACAATAGAGTCACTAGGCACTAAATCTTAGGCATTTAAAAAGCCTTTCAATTTATTGTGTGTGAGAGCATGAGTCAGGAGAGGGAAGACATCCATTGATGGAAATATTAGCTAATCTACCTACCTCTTAACAGAGGGGAAATGAACCCAAGGTGCAGAATAAGTCATAAATTTTTAGATATGGCCAATTCAGGAATGTTTTGAATATGCGTATTTGTTATAAAGGTTTCCTTTTTCTTTCTTTTTTTATAATGGGCAGAGGGAGAAGAAAGAAATGCTTGTTGATTGAAAAGAAATAATTTTTTTTTTTTTAAAGAATGCATAGAGAGGAAAGAGTAGTATCCAGGAAGAGATGATCAGTAATGTCAAATGCTTCAGAGAGGTGAAGGAGGATCAGGGTTGAGAAAAAGGACATTAGATTTGACAATTAAGAGATCATTGGTAATTTTGGAAAAAGCAGTATCTATGATGTGAGGGGGAGGTGGTGGGGAGAAGCATCAATAAAACCCTTAGAAACAGAACAAGAAAAAGCACTTAATTCATAATGCAGGCTGTTCACACTGGGAATGTAATAGCATTGGTCCTTTATCAGGTCATGAAGGACTGCTTGCTGCTTATAGCCTCCACCTTTTAAATAATATCCTTTCTAAAATGTAGATTAAAATGCTTCATTAAAAGGATACTTGGCTGAATAATGGATTGAGCCTGGTTTAACCATCCCTCTCCACAGTGATTTGCTGCAAATTAAAGCATTTGGGTTTAAAGGGCAGAAAAAAGGGGGGGAGTGGGGGTGGGGAAATGAATTCTGCCATCTGGAGAAGGCAAGGCAAGTGTGCTGTCCCTAAATGAGCTTGAAGCAATGACTTGTGTTAATCCTAATAAGCCAGTGATTAAGTAAACATGCTATTAAATGGAAAGGAATGCCAGGAATTTCAAGTACTTTTCCAATAGAGAGGAGAGACCTGGTTGCCTCCCCCTCCCCCTTCTCTTTCTTTATAATTACACTTTATATTGGGGAGACGTGAATGGAGTTTGGCTATCCAGAGGGTCAAAGGCTAGATGACTGGCATTCTTGAAGAAAAAGACCTGTTTAATGGGGCCAGGAGGAGTTGAGAAGGCTGTATCAATGTTTGGGAAAATGCTGGTCGCCTGTTGTTGAGAAATCGGCATCTATAGAAAGAGTGGACAATAAACCTTTCATAGAAAGGCTTTCCTTTCATCGTTCCTCCCTCCTTGGCTTCAGTTCAAATCCATCGGGAAATATTTCGGTCTGCTCTCCATTAAGAGTACTTCAAATTTCAGGCTGTAAGTGAAGGCAGGTTTGGGGGTTTTCTGAGGAGAGGAGGTAGCTGATGGGGCCCATTGGGGTGATTTCTCAAAAGTTAACTTTCAATGTTGTTGTCTAAGCAAGTAGCCAATACTATATAAACTTTGAATTTGCAGCTTTATTAAAATCTAAGGGATTTAAGTATAAACACAGTTTTAAAATAATGTGGTCAAGTGTCTGGTCCCCCAAATTACAACCTATGTCATTTTAGCAATAGGGATTTTGCCTGAGGTTGCCCAGACTTTAGGTGTTTGGGAATTCAAGTACCACCTAGCCCCCACTGGTCTTGAATGCAGTCAAATTTGTCTGTGCTATAGGAAAGGTAATACAATAAAGGTGTGAGGTTTATGTGAATACTCATGTAAATCCAGGGATGGGATTTACACATTCCCAGATACAGATCCTGAAACTATGGTCCAACTATGGAAGATCTCCCAAACCGCCTCTTGGGAAGAGGTCAACAGACACTGCTTTCCAGGACGTAAATGTCTAGGCAGATGGTATTTGACCAAATAGGCCCAATTGTGAAATGAATATTGACAAGGCTAATAATCAGTACTTTCTCGTCAAAAGGGGGATAATTAGAGGGCTAGGAAGGGGCTTTAATGTCACCCTAGTAAATTCCTATAGGCTGATGGACAACAGCTGATTTTGCTCAAAGTTAAGAGTGTACAGTTTATAGCCAGAGATCAATAAAACCAAATTGTTTCCATTTCTCATAGATGTTAGGAGAAAACCCGGAGATATAAAAATAGCAAAGAAACAAATTACGAGACTTAGGACAGATTGGTTTTGTCTGCTGTTAATTTCTGTTCTGAGTCTAGTATGGAAATCTATACATCTTCCCAAAAGAAAAAAAAAAATCCATACCTTGAATAGTTAGCATTTATACAGCAATTTAAAGTTCACAAAGTGCTTTATAAACATTATCTCATTTTATCCTCACAACAACGTTTGGAAGGTAGGTCTTATTATTATCACTGTCCCCATTTTACAGAAGAGGAAACAGGCAATATGGAGGTTAAATGACTTGCTAGGATCACACTGTATCTGAGGCTGGATTTGAACTCAGATCTTCCTAACTATATCTCTCATCTGTCACATGTGACAAAATTATCTATATGTATATAGTAAGGATGTTGTTTAATTCTCACTTTGCTGTGCAAAACCCCTGGGGGTCTCAGTCTTTTTCATGGTGGAAGTTTTAAAGCTAAGATCTCCAAACCAATCTCAGATTTGGGCTCTGATTATGGAGTCAGATAACCTGGATTCAAATCCTATCTCTAATACTTATTGCCTTTTTGATCTCGGGAAAATCACTTCCCTGGGTCTCAGTTTCCTTGGTTGTAGAATTCAGGGTGGGTAGGTGGGTGAGATTTGAATAGATGGACTTTAAGATCTATTCCTGTTCTATAACTGTGATCTTAGATATTTACATGAAACCCAAGAAATTGATATAGGGCCATAGGAGCGTAGATTTAGAACAGGGAAGAACATTAAAGGTTATATCAATGTAAACTCCTAGAGGGCAGAGTGTTTCATTTTTCTTTTTGCATCCCCAGGGTCTAATGCTTGGAACAAAATAGACTCTTAGGAGATGTGTGTCAATTGATTGATTCATTGATTGATCGAGCCCTCATTTGACAAATAAGGAACTGAGGTCCTCAAGGTGGACCCAAGTGACTTTTGAAAAGAATGAATATGTTCTCAGGCATATACAAAACTTTTTCCTTGAGTGATTTCTCGAGTAGTAACGATGAATTTATACACATCTTCAAGTCAGAATTAAGTGTCTAGTTTGTGGCCATGGGAAAAGAACAAAACTAACTATACTGAGGACTTTGATCTCATTAACACCAACAAACAACCCAGCTTTTGAGATTTAGCCAGTATACGATTCTCTCTCTGTCTCTATCTCTGTCTCCGTCTGTGTGTGTGTCTCTCTCTGTTTCTCCATGGCTCTCTTCATCCATCTATCCATCCATTCAAACATCCATCTATCCATCCATCCATCTATCTATCTATCTATCTATCTATCTATCTATCTATCTATCTATCTATC